AAACCCCAAAACAAACTAAGAAAAAAAAACATGAAATTTTACCAAATGGAAAAATGTAGAACAGTTGCTTTCAGACAAATAATGATAGCCTGCTTGTATGAACCAATATTTCCTCGTGATGAAATTAAATGAGGTGAGGCATTGCATTCATGTGTGGCGTCAAACTGATGAGATGTGGTTATATGTGCAGGTGCGCTCTCTGGAGGCCAAAAATAGGCAGCTGGAAATGAACATCGCTGAGTTCTGTCAACAAAAGTCAACTGTTGTTACCAAGAACTACGGTGGCTATTTTTCCACCATCAGTGACCTGCGAGCCGAGGTACCTTTCACACTTTACATAACACAACACACTCAAAGAATGATAAAAAAAAAATCAAGCAAACCATTTTACAATGCGCACACGAAACCTCGAACATTGCCAAACACCCGAAGTAAACATCTATGCAGGCGACTGAAACATCTTTCCATTGTTTTACTATCACAAAAACTATTGACACCAATTAATGCTGAAGTGTGGATTTGAAGGGTTAGAACCCGTTGTACGCTATGTGACTGATAGATGGCATCCAAAGAAAGCTGAACTGCTGCGGAATGCAAAACAATTTGCTCAGTATCAATAAATGAAGAGTATAGCCTATACGCGGTCAGAATTTCAGACAGTTTATTCATTTTCTCCAATTAGATTGCAAGAAGATTTGCAGAGAACCAGGCCATCCACGTGCAGCTTGACAATGCTCAATTGGCAGCGGAAGACTTTAAAATGAAGTAGGTTTACATTCCTTTGTTGCTCCGTGGTATTTCTTTCTACCCCATATTACTTTATACCAAATATGAAAAGAAATCCCACTACATTTGGGAGTTTTTGTTTTATTATTTATTTTTTTCTTTTGAGACCATACAATCGTTACCCCCATCAAAATCGTGAAAATAATGGCATCTGAAAGGGCTGCTTTTCTTCTGTAGATATGACATGGAGATGAACTTGCATTTGACCGTGGAGGCTGACGTATCCCGTCTCCGAGCAGTCCGCGACAGCTTGACTCTTGGCATCAGTGACTTGGAGCTAAACATAGAGGATCTGAAAGCAGAGCTGGCGCAAATGAAGGCGAATCACAAGGAGGTAAAAGGCGTATAATAGAAAAACAAACCTATTAAACACTGCTAAAGAGATTGCGTGAGTCAATGCTTTCCATGGTGCAGTGTCGCCATCTGCTGGTGGTGGAAGCGCTTACACTTCTGGATGGATTGGAGATTTAAACACTTTTTTTGTTGTTGTGTTTTTTGTTTGTTTGTTTTGCATGTTGCAGGAGATGAGTCAGTTGAGCATCCAATGCAGTGGCTCTGTAAATGTAGAGGTGGACAGTGCACACTCTACAGATTTGACAAAGGTCCTGGAGGAAATGAGGGAGCAGTATGAAACTGTGGTGAGCAAGAACAAGCTGGAAGTCGAGAAATGGTTCCAGTCGAAGGTGAGGTTCCTAAAATGTTCAAAACGACTCCGGTAGATCCTTTAAAAAAAAAAAAAAAGTTCAAATTTTCTTATTGAATTTTGAATGCTTTCTTTTAAAAAGGTGGAAATTCTCCAGAAGGAAATCATTGTTTCCCAAACAGATGTGAAAACGTTTCACAAAGAGTTGTCCACTCTGAAGAAGACCTACCAAAGTTTGATGATAAGCCGGCAAAGCGCACACACAGAGGTATGGAATAACAACCCAAAAGTACTGGATATGAAGGTTTTGCAACTGAAGCCAAATGCACATCGCAGTGTTAGGTCTAATAAACTCAGCTTGCTGAAGCTAAGAAGTAGCAGACCCGCTCTTTTTTTCTCATATTGTACCTATCTCTGG